GGGGCGCGCCTCTCGGCGCGGGGGGCTTGACACGCCCTCTGAACCCCGAAGTGAAGTGAAGTGAAGTGAAGTGAAGTGAAGTGAAGTGAAGTGAAGTGAAGTGAAGTGAAGTGAAGAGAGTATGTGTCAGCTCCAGTTTTTATCCGTGGACAAATGGGTAAGTCGACTTCAACCTTGCATTGGTCGATTTGAAGTGTGTATAATAATAGTATAGTAGTATACCGCACACTTCGAGGCTTACAGGTGAATCTGTGTGTTCCTGTTTTGACTTGGGCCCGTGCTTTATCAAGTCGTTTGCCACGTTTTGCACTCTATGCTCGGCATCTCTGCCCAGGGTTTGTCCATCTTGTTTTGAATTCGCAGGTAAGAATTTCACGGGATTCCAGACAAGCCGTGGACATCCCAAATCCGACAGCTGCAGCCAGAAAGTCAACACGCCTCCACAAAAAAGGTGGAAATGCACAGGCATGCGAATGCATCCGTGAGTGCCAGACTGGATGTCCGGAAGCACCTCAAAGACCCAAGAGCTGCATGGCCCGCCCGAGACGGTCTTGCTACCCTAAGGCCCCAAACCCCGAACCTTAAACCCCGAAACCATTTCCGCTCTGAAAGGAGCGCCAGCGGCAGGAGGCTCGTCGCGAGGCCGCTGAGCGTGCGGCGGAGGAGGCCAAGAGGCCGGGGCCCGGAAAACTTGTTACAACGATGTTAGGAGTAGCGACATAGCAATAGCAATCGTAATCGTGATCGTCGTCGTAGTAGTAGTAGTAGTAGTAGTAGTAGCAGCAGTAGTAGCAGCAGTTGTCGTCGTCGCATCTCGAAGGATTGCAGGAAGTTTAATTTTGGGATTAAGGGTTTAATATTTACGATGTGGGCTCTATGGGTGAAGGTTGTCATGCGACGAAGTTCGCGCAGGCTTCTCTCATCAGCATATTCAGCATGTTGGAGCTGGGCGATATTGCAAGTTTCGTTGTTGGAATTGAGTTTTCCGGGCCATTGCTTGTGCGCTTGCGCAAGCACGATGGTCGAAACCTCGAACACCTGATGTCAGGCTTTGGGACAAGCCACCCGTCGGATGCTCAGCTCGCGCGTTCTGGCCCGAACCAAAACACTGGACTGACGAGTGAATACGCACCGACACTCGTCGTAGGCCGAGGCTGCTCCTGTTCCGGTGGTGGTCCCGGCTCTCATAGCATCGGCTGCCTTGCCACCTGTACCGGCACCTGCGCCGGTAGCCGTACCGGCACCAAAGACGCTCTCTGCCCTCATGCAGGCCTGGCTGCCAGGTCTCTGGGGTTCTCACAGCTGCGTGTAGCTGTTGCAGGCCCAAGCTGCCGGAGCGAACATCGCTGCCTCGCCCACTGCCACGCTTTGCTTTCCCTGCATTCCTTTAATCTGAATGTCACCTTCATGGCAGGCTTCTGGCCGCGCAGCCGGCGAGGGACCCTGCCGCTTGCATACGCACAGCAGGTAAGTCCTCCTCTCGTTACGTAGGCTATGGCGCCTGGCATACCCGGAATGGCAATGGCTGGAGGCATTCAGCTTTTCTTGGCAGCGGCGGTAGTAGGATCTGAGATTTGCAGGCGATTTATTGTGACAGGAGAGGAAGCAGCTGCTGGCGACGTCACGGCTCATGTTCAAGTACCTGCTGGCCGGGTGGGGGACTCAGGTCTACCCAGGGTCTACCTAGACTGACCCTGAATTCTAGGGTTTCCTGCCTGGGGCTGAGGTCAAAGACTTGCTCGGCGTGCAGGGAAGGCCAGGGTTCCTTCATTCTCCCGGTTTTGCGGGTGGCATTTGTTGATCCTGGCTGCAGGAACATCAAGGCCCTGAAATCTCAGACCGGCGTCGTGAAAGTTGGCGTTCTGGACCGGAATGATCCAGCAAACGTTGAAATTGCGCGGGTCCTATACCCGCCCGAAGTCAACTGCCTTGTTGGCGTTGTCTTGGAAATGGTTTGTTGGGCCAGTTTCGTGTATAGAGCAAGGACTGAAAGCAAACTGACTGCAGCACAACTTGCATGGTCAAACGTGTGCATGTTCGTTGCTGCGCTTGTTTTGGTAGGCTGCCCTCTTGCATTTTCCTTCATTTCCCGTCGCATGGGTAGAACGGCAATAATACGAGTCAACCGGCAAATTTGGTGCAAGAATTGCGCACATTCATGCCTGAGCAGTTGGAAAGCAGCTTCATCCGTCCGTTGTCAGTTCAGTACTTTCTGCACTGTCTTTCCCGCGATTCTGGGAGCTGGTTGCTGCCTCCAAACCTTTCCAATGCATGAATATCTTTTTCTAGCAGGCATCACATGGATTTCATGGAGCCCCAAACCCACGGATGAAGCAGCAAATCCAGATTTGGTAAACCCGAGGTTGGTGCCCCGGCGGCGGTGGAGAAGTGCAAAGCGCTTGCCGGGGACCCTATTCATCGGTGGCCAGACTCGAGCAAGACGAAAATGGACGTGCCGTGGCGCAGCATGAAGGAGTCGCAAAAGAAAGCGATACCGTGGCAGTTAAACCCTATTGCAGGTGTTCGGGATCTCGCACGACTCGCCGCCTCGATCTGCGCATGCCGCAAAACGGGCTTCCAAGGTCAGCTGTATTGTTGAGGGCGACCTCGCCGCCATCGGCAACATCACCGAAATCTTGGACCGGAGGGTTCGTAGGGCGTAGGGCGCAAACAGCTTTGTCCAGAGCATACATTGGACAGACAGCGTGATCTTTCCCAATCTTTCCTGACTAAGTTTCTTGAAGCCCTCGGCCACAAAATGAAACCCTGCTGCCCTTCGCCCGTATGCTTAAAACTTTAAAGATTTTTCAAGCTTAGCTTAAACCGCAACACCCCCCCCCCCCAAGCCCCCCGCCAACTCTCGAAGCCCTAAGCCTTTCTAGCCTCAGCCCCCGGTGGCTTCCGAAAGTAGCCCAGCAAAAATCCTGAATAGTAGGATGCTTAGCATAGGGACCACCTAAGAAGGGATGCCAAAGAAGCTCCATACACATCGCCGTTGAAGGACATTACAAACATTACAAAACCCTTGCAACACTCTATTAAAGCCCCCTGTAGCACCCTTCATAGAACTCCCTTCCAAGGTGTACCTGATGAAAGCCTCATGTATCCTTCACAAAACCCACGAACAAAACCATAGCAAAGGCCCCTGTCAAACCCTAAAACCCTTCATCTTCGCAGGACATAGAGCCGAGGCTCATCTCGCGGCTCATCGGTCCAAGAGGCCCGCTTGTTGCGGGTTTAGGGTTTAGGGGTCTGGCGGTTCAGGGTTTAGGGTTTAGGGGTTTTGAGTTTGGCGTCAGTTTTGAGATTGAGGGTGAGGCTTTAGAAGGCTTGTTGTTGGTGGTGTAGCAGCAGCATTAGCCGCAGTAGTAGTAGTAGTAGTAGTAGTAGCAGCAGCAGCAGCAGCAGCAGCAGCACTGGCAGTAGAAGTAGTAGTAGTGACAGTAGGAATACTAGCTGTCGGATATCTCAACAACTACGTCACTCAGCCAATATGGTTGCCACCACCAGCATCATAGCTATCGTCAGTGTCATGTGATAGGGTTTGCTTGCCCTGACCCGGGAACATGGCCACTCCTGGCCATTCATCAAGACCGCTGAAGGCCAAAATATTTCCAACATGAAGGACCAGAGTGGTGCATACCTGGCAGCTCCTACCTCGGTGGGTCCTGTTTGCATGCAGATGACTCGGATAAAGAGAGGGGCGGATTTTCAGGTGAAGGAGCCGGCACCTGGAATGGGCAACAAGGCGGCTTTGCCATGGATAAATCGAATGTGGGGGTGCCTGGTGTGAAGCGACGGAGGTGGTCATCGTGGGCTTTCCGGAGTGCGTGGTTCGTGCGAAGGAGTTGGTAGCTTCTTGGCAGATCTTTCCGCGCCCAAACACGAAATTTGCACAGAGAAGCCTTGCGTGCGGGAGCAAGATATCAGGTTTCTTTCCTGAGCCACGAGGCCGCCGCCGCAGGCGGAGCTGAAGTCGCCTCTCCTCTTGTCCCTAAGATTTGGCTCTAGAATAGGGTTTTGGAGGTTCCTTATTATAATTACGGTTTAGGGTTTATGGAAAGTCTCCGTTCCATGGCCAGGGCCGGGACCAGGGCCGGGCTTCGGAATGGGACTGCCGCCACAACCGCCCCTTCCGCATCCGCACGCGGCCCCTGTGCAGCGCTCTTATGGCATCCTGCGCTGTAGATGTCCTATACCGCATCTGCAGCTTTGGGGATGGATTGAAATGCCGCTGGAGGCCTGTCAATACCGTGAGACCCATGCACGGCCAGGCCGGCAGAAAGGGAACATCTGATAACAGGTGTTGACCAGATCCTGGAACGGGAGTTTTAGATTTGCAGCATCGAAAAGGGAGTCTTCCGACTTTCAGTGAGTTCGGGAAACAGCTTTCATTGCAAAGGGATGCTTAGAAGGATCTAAGCTAGAGGATGTAAGGCTTGATGGATGGCGAAGTAGGGTTGTGTCTCAGACTGAGCTGACTTCCCACTCGCCAACCTCCGTCCGAACATCAGGTGCCTCCGATGCCTACGCCTGCGTGGACCGGTCAGGGCATGGGCCAGAGCCACTGACCGCCTCAGTTTTGTGTGCCTCGGAACCCTCGGTCTGCACTGAGGCTGCGGCAAAGGAATGCCTGGCGGAAAGGCCATCGATACCGGTCCTGTGGTGGGAAAGATTGGTGACATAATAGCTTGCTCGGCTTGCTGCGTTCATTGCGAGGCGCCGGATGCCGGCACTTGGACACCAGGCAAAGGTGCCTGCGATGGAGGCTGCTTTCTTGAATCATATGCGCATGTCGTCATGGTCAGGCTCTGGCATTTTCTGATACTGCAGCAGGATACCGTGTCTTCTGGCAGGTTGGCATGATCCCTCTGCTTGGCAGGGCGAGGGCCATCAGTGGGGTGTGGCCAAAGGCGCTGCGGATGAGTTGTGGATAGCTGGGGTGACGCGATGAGTTTTTCCCACCACGCAGGTGACTGGGGCCCTCCGCAGCCATGCCGCGGCCAGTTCGGGAAAGGCCCCTGCTCTCCCGCTGTGACAGGCCCGAACGAAAACTAACGGCACTCCTGCAGAACTTGCGGAGTGCAGGGTTTGGAATCTGGCAGCATTCTGTCCAGCAAGTGCCACGACAGGACACGGACACGGTGATGAGAGTTGGCCTCAAGAAAGCTGGGACTATGGCAACAGCGCTGCTAGTGGTGCTGTTTACCAGCAGGGTCCTCATCAGGCCCGAATCCTGTCAGCTCCTGTATAGGGGCATGTAGGTCTCCTTCGAATACTCCCGTAGCCAGCCCCGCCAGCCCCCAATCACCCTAGTCCGGAGTCCAACGTGCATCCAACTCAACAGTGTGCCGAGTGCTTCAAAACACTCATCTGGTCGCAGGCTGCAGACTATGCCGGAGCGATTCACACAGGTGCCTGTCATGCACGTGCATTTAGCACAGATTTAGCACAGATCAGCAGTCAAGTCGATCACAAGTTCGGAGTAACCTATCCTTTGCTAGTTTCGGTTATGAGTGCTTGCACCAGGCCGCCAAGATCATGGCAGCGCCGGGAACGGCTTTGATGCGCGCAGCCAGGGCCGCTTGACACAGCAAACTACTCGCAGCCTCGGTCCACGTTTGTTGGTTTCTTGACTGTCCTTGTATGTCCTTGTAATCTGGATCCTACTAATTGTGTTAGGGCCTGTTCGGGTCCCTTCCTTTGTTTTCGAAATTCACGTGTGGGTCTGTGTCTTATGGCTATTCGGGTGCTCGTCCATCTGGACCTGAAGCCGGAAGCAAAGATCTCGAAAGAGGAACGGAGTGGAACCTCAGTCTGAGGGGTGGTTTTAGGGTTGGAATCTGGGTTTTGCAGGCCTGAGCATTGGCATCGTGAGCCGGGTTTTTGCTCCAGACCGGAAGTGTGCAATGGAGCAGCAGACTGCTGTTACGACAAAGCAAAACAAAACCCTAGAAGCAGCCAACTCACCTCAGTAGACTGCAAGACGGCCTTGCTGGACGTGGCGTTTCGGGCTTCGACTGCCACAAAGTGGCTGGCCTGAAGTCGTGCAGAGAAGAAGAAGACAACCGCAGGACACTGCCGGCGATTGGCGGTCGTCCAGCAGAAGCCAATGCAAGAACACACATCGCACTCAGCATGCTCCAGACAACCCGCAGCAGATCTCCGTGGTGGCCACTGTTATCAAGATATTTCAAGATGCAACGAGATGTTCAACGAGACTGATCTTGTTGAGAGTCAGGCAAGGGTGGGTCGATGGATGCCTGGAGCCACGCGGCAGCGAGCCAGGACGACCGCTTGCCGAAGAGTGAAGCCATTGCTAGTCCTTGTCTCTTCCAGCAAGCACAGGAACAGTGGCACGGATACGGCAACGACCAACAAGGAGGCATGACCCAGATCCAGTTCTCCTGCTTCATGATTACATGATCCCACGCCTAGATCGGAGCAGGCGAAAGTGAGATCTAGCCGAAGTGTCATCACGCTGCGCAGCATGGCCTAAATACACACATGCTCCATGAGAAACATAAACGATGCGTGCACGATGTTGTCGTGATAGAACATCGGACCAACGCATAGCATCGTATCACCGCCGAACAGATGAGTTGTCCCTGCATGCGAAACAGGCTGGGGCCACTGGTCTCCACAGGCCGAGTGGGATGAAAGGCACCATTGCAACGCGCCAACAGCCCTCAGATGATCTGACTGTGTTTCAAGCGCCACTGCAGATGGGGCCCATGCGATGGTTCCAATGGCTCAGGCACTCAAAGAGTCGGCAGTTTGAGCGCAAGACGATAGAGAAAAGGAGTAGATGTGCACATGCACAAGGCCAGAAGGGGGCTTCGCCGATGCATCATGCAGCTCGGCATCAAGTGACTGGCCTGCACTCTCGACGCTGTCGATGAACAGGAAGACTGAAGATCTGTAATAAAACTCTGTGATGCTCCATGGACATGGTAGCAAACATTGCAAGACGAGGTGAGTGCTAAAGCCTGGAGAAAGGAACTATATCTTCTGGCAGTTGAAGAGACAACCAAGGCCTCCGCCTATGGCGGCGATGCCGGCGACTACGGCTAGGGCCCTGGGGCCGGAGACAGGTTGCATGGATCAGCCGCCTCTGAAGCAGGCAGACTATCCGAGACTGCAGGGAAGTAGAAGGCTTGCAAGATTATCGGTAGTGGCTGTGCTAGCCACTACTACTCGTAGCTACTGCAGGAGCATCCATAGCAATATGCAGCTGCTAAACCGAATCTACTCAAGAAGAGCCGATTTGGAGCATTTGGTGAATGCTCGTGAACATGAAACAGTAGCATGGTGGCACTTGTGCACGATGCCATGATGCTGCCAACTCAGGCCATCATCCCGAATGGGGCAGCCACATGTGACAAGCGCTTTGGAAAAAGAGCCGCGCCTGCCGAAATACCTGCCCTGTGGGGTTGTGTTGCTTTCTTCTGCGTTCCTGACGTCATCGAATAGCTTCGACTAGGTCTTGTGTATGGCGTAGAGATGCGGCGATCTTGTTCGTGCCCTGAAAGAGAGCTGCGCGAAATGAATGCACGTGGTCGTCACAAGGGCCAGTTCTGTTACTGGTCTGTCACCGACAGACCCCAAGACAAAATGAAGCTGTCATACAGGTGGATGAATGATTCAATTCAACACCACATCGCATGGCCAGGAAAATACACTAACATCTGGAGTGTCAAGGTTTTTTAATACTCATGCCTGCTCCCAGTGAGTTGTTGCTAGCGGTTTTACGACGCTGCCAGCATCCGCCTGAAAGGCCCGGGAACTGGAGGCATGGAATTACATTTTGGGAACCAGCTGCTGCTTCTAGGAGCCACGCATCAAAAGCGAAGGAAACACATACCTCACAGTCTCAATTTTCCGACCGTGCTGCTCGTCTTTTGAAGACAGCCTTATTGAAAATACACGACGCTTCCTCGGCAGAAATTCTGGGATGATATTACAACAAACCTGGATAAACCTGGTGACAGGAGCGGTCGAGACGCACACCAGACATCTGCCAACTTGGGCAAGACGCGACTCTTCAACTACGAGGGCGGCCCGCCCCCCGCCGCGGGTCGCAGATCATGGGGACCCCTAGCAATAGCCGGATAAACGGTGGTCAGATGCAGCGGGGGTTATTTGAAATGGCCGGGCCGGCACGAAAGTCAGTTGCAAACGACTCCGAGCATTGCCAAGCCTTGGTAGAAACCGAACCTGCGACATTTGATGAATCTTCGTCGTGGTTGCCGTGACAAGATTGAACGTTGCAGATTGTGCAAGTCTATTCGTACGGAGTTGCGACGCGAGATACGCCTCAATCGAAATGCAAAGTTTGGGTTGTGTGCTGCGGGAATTTCGGGACTTGAGCCGTTCGGTCGGAGTCCGTGTGGCATGATCCGATCAAACCTGCGCTGTTTTGTTCATGCCCAGGATCCCTCTCTGCGTAAATTTGCTGATTATCTGTCGGGTATGTTTGCTTCAGATTGTGGACGACGGTCGACATGTGTCACCCCAACGAAGATTTCATATCCTGGCATTCACCATGCCAGAATTGAAATATGCCTCATGCCATTTGCGTAAAGGCAAATCAGCTGATTCGCAGTGTGTGGTTTTGGAAATGTTGTGTTATGCCCCCTGAGGATCTGTTGATTCCATTGTCGGAGTTGGAGTTGTACAATCGCTTCTTGCAAGATGGACGCATGGACCCAACCATCGTGGAAACAAGCGGTATTTACAATGCTGGCGAAGAAAGGCGACACGTCGCACGTGCAAAATTGGCGGCCTATTGCTTCTTTGAAGGTGATTTACAAAGTCTTTTAACAAACTGGTACATGGACGGGTGCAGCCACTTCTGGACCAAGAGCAATCAGTCGAGCAAATGGAATTTCGACCCGGTTGTGGCGTTGATCATGCATTGTGTGTGCTTGACTGTGTTTGTGCAAACGCTATCGAATTTGATTGCGAGTTTTGCTTGCCAGCATTGACCGTGTCATAAAAGCAAGGCCTTTTTGCAGGAATCGGCAGAGTGCAACGTCCTTGCTCGCTGCAACCGTTTTCGCAAGGTCTTTTGCGACCCCTATAACCCCCTTTTCTTGCCCTCCCTACGCTGACATGGCTAGAGTTTGCCGGGTCTGCCGCCGTCCGCGAGGCAGCCGCTGACGGTTTCTGCATTGTTTGCCCGGCCTTGCGCCAGCAGTTGCTCGTCCAGCGGCCTCCATCCTGGTTGGGGTGGTCGACACGCGACGGGCTCTCTCTCGGCGGCATGAGGCGAGACATGATAAGACATGATCGCAGCGGACACCCTGTCACGCCGAAGGGCAACGGCTGCAAAAGCGGTGGCAAGGGCTAGGACCGTCGAGGACCCGAGCATCGGATGCCGACCTGGCGAAAGTGGTGACTGCAGCAGCAGCCGCCACGGTGGCCGCTCTCAACCGTCGCTAAAAATGAATGGCGATGTGACACAAAATATCACAAAATATCGACCACTATGCCTTGTTCACCTTTGGCTCTCACTTTTCACGAGCATTGGCCATCAGCAAGACGTCCTTCGCTGGGCAACCGCGAGCTTGCAGCTGGATCGCCTGAGAGGGGGTCGCTTGCTAGATGTTGCATTTGTTGATGTACAGACCATGTCCTACAACCAAGCCCCGCCTGCAGGAGCTAAACGGAACGAGCCGGCAGTGTGAGTGTCTGGTCAACGGCATCTCCGTCGCACCTTCACGACGCCGCATCGGCGAGGCGACCTTAACCCAGGCCCAGGAGACGACACCAGCCACTGGCGCAAATGGGCCTCTGTGGACACGACGCGGCCCCCGCATCCGATTGCATGGGGAAACGTTTTCGGACACGCTTCGTGCATACACTTCTTGCGTCGCCGCGTGAAAACCCGGTTGCCGCCGGGATCGCTGAGCAAACCTGCCTCTCGGTCGAGCACTTTCCTGCCGGGTGGTTGTGAAGGCTATACCCCGGCACCTTGGCCCAGGCCGCATTATTCGAAGCATCTCGGAGCGTACGGAAGCCAGACGTCGCTATTGAAGCTGCCGCTTTGGCGGATGCCATTCGCCCCCGCGCTGCAGCAGGGCCGATATCTCCAACCTAGCCAAGCTCGCGTGGCCGCACCAGTGCCGCACCGATCCCGGCGTGCATGTCGATATGACATGATGTGACCGCATCGCATCGCACGCGTCCGCTGTGCAGCGATGTGTTCCTGCACTTGAAGGAACATCTGTCAGACTCGGCACACCGAATAAACAATGATAAACGACCGGTCCTTGATGGCCTGTATGATGAATTGCTTTCACTGTTTTGGACGGCTGATCCGAGGTTGTACCGATGTTCGCGTGCAGACCCCCAGGAAACAACATCGTGGTGGCGTGATGCATGTCTCGATGCATTGCTTGCGAGGACGCGTAGGAACGCTGCCGGGCATGCAACGCGGAGTCATGCCATGCATTTCGAGCTGCTCGTAGCCGTTTTCACCGTGTTGTACGTGCTGCAGACGTTCAATGCTGCTCTTGCTGGCCACATCCTGTTGAGCACCTGCGGTCGATTTGGCCGTTTGCCCACGCACAGCTGCAAAGATGGCGCGACTCCCTTCCAGCGAAACCAATTGATGAACGAATGGTGCCAACATGGTCGCGGTGCAACATTTTTCGCTGATGACAACTTTGATGCTCGGCATTTCGGCCGCGTCGAGCGACGTGTTGACCGCATCCGCGCAAGCCGCAGTGTGAAGAAACATTTTTCCAGCATGGATGGCAGCGCGCCATTCACGATTTCTGATTTCAAGTCAGCCCTGCAACCGCGCTCCAGTTGCGCTCTTGCCCGGTCAGGCTGGCCCACGGGCCGGCGCCAATTTAACTGCAATGCCCTGTGAGCCGGCCTGGGCGTTTCCGCTCCACGCAATGCTTGTAGCCCTGCGCGGATGCGCGTGGCTCGGGAGGCCGTCGGTCCGGATGGGCAGGCGGTCCCCCAACAGTGGCTGGCCCACACAACAGCTTCCCGCTCCAATGACCGGCGCCGCCTACCTCGTCGTTCATGGATCGGGGGGGGCCTTTGCGGCGACGCCACACTCGTGTCACAGCTGTCACGCACAGGCCTGCCGAAACCCTGAGTTGCTGCACACGACGCAGCCGCCTTGCGGGGTCGCCGAGCGCCGACAGCGAGCCGCCTGACGGCGGCACAACTCGTGGTGCTCGGGACCAAGGTCGGCGGACGGTGCACTGCCGGCGCGCACCAGCTGCTCCGAGACCCCGTCCGTGTCCGCGCCCAGCCATGGGCCAGGTGTTGGTGGGCCATGCTGGCAGTGTCAGTGCAACACGGGGTCACGAGCACTGCCCTCAGGTCTGTTTGGCCGCCGCCGCCCCACACGAGCCTTCCAGCTCCAGAGCTGGAATGATTGCTGGACTTTGCTGCTGCAGCAGGGCCGAGCCGCTTGCCGCTACAGCATGCGGCCCGTAAAGACGTCATGGGGTAGCAGGCTGCGCCGAAACGAGCAGCAGGCGCCTGAGACTTATGCCAAGGAAATAGAGCCGTTAAGCAAGAAACAAATTTGGGGCTTGTGTCCCTCTAGGGTTGCATAGCCTGCCGGTGCACTGCTTTGCTGCGCTGTTTGCCAAATATGCGGCAAGAACGCTGTGTCACACCGGGCTAACGACCGGTATGCCGAGTGGTATGCCTCACTGCTGCAAAAACGCAGCTCGTTCCGCAGCGTTGGTGCACTGGGACCGCGGTCTCTGTTCGAAAACAGGCGCGCGAAAAAAACAAAAACAAAAATGTACACACATTTCACTGCATGCATGGACCGTGACCCGCGGTCGTTTTCGGACACACCGCTTCCCGTCGTTATTTGCAGACAAGATACTGCACGGTCCCCGCACCAGAGTCTACACATCTTATCACATCTTCACGTGCCTATGTGGCAAGAAGCGAAATATGTGGGATGCCTGGAAATAGGCGATGCTTCCTTCTCCATATTGCCAAAACGACCTGGCTTGATTTAAATGGAAAAAGTAATCAAAGGCACCTCCAAAGGCACGTCGGACACGCGTGTGTAGCATCGTCTTTCCGCTACAGGCAATGGTGAAAGCCGTGCCCGTTTTTGTGCATGTGCAGCAGAGCATGCGGGAAAGCCTTCCGATAAGTGATCTTGCAAGCAAGACGTGTCAGTACTTTTTTTAACATGTTGGAAACATGCAAACACGAAGTAAGTGCAGGTTTTGGCAGTCGCCACCGGGACATAGTTCGAAGTGCAGGTTAGTTGCGCTTACATGGTGAATTGCTGTTCGGAGTGGTTTGGCAAAGGGCCAAGGGAAAACACTTGTCAGTTGTCGGTACTGTCGAATCTACTGGCCGGACAAGGTGGGGAATCATTTTGCGG